TAGGGCTGAGGCTGGGTGGGATTGTATACTGAAAACTGGCCTAGAAACCTGGGCCAGACACACCAGCCGGAGGGAGCGTGGGGTGCAGCAGATGATGACTTCTGTGCCCCACACACGAGCTCTGGCCTCATCACATTTTTTTCCACTGGCCCAAGAAAGAGGGAAGAGCTTGGGTGGGCAGCCTGAGTTGCAGCCAGGCGGCAGACTAGCCACCAGGACCAGGTCGGCCTGGAAGGGTAGGGTCGGCCTGTGACCGGGTAGGATGCCCAGCCTGGCCAAACACGGGCAAGTGTGCACCAGCTCTCCTAGCCCAGGGGAACTTTCTTCAGCTGCCAGGCATGGTCCCTCCATCTTGCAGGGCCCTCACAGCAGCTTGTCAGTGTGCTGGCTGCGCCACACAACCAGGCCAGCCATGGCAACTGTCAGCAGGACAGGCACGATGATCAGCGGGATGAGAACCTCGTCCGGGGGGTCCTCCCAGTGGACCCTGTCCACGGTGCAGTTGGAGAAGAACTGCCTGTGGACGCCACTGATGAAGCCCTGGGCCAGGGGGTTGGGCCAGTAGCAGCCTGAGATGTTGGTCTCCATCTGGGTGCAGTTGGTGAAACTCTCATAGTACCTGCAAAAGCAGAGGGCATGACATCCAGGCTCTGCCCACAACCCCTCACGCCCACCTGACCCCAGGCCCGGGAGGACGGGCAGGGTTGATTTGGGTTCCATCCCACTTGGTGGCCTCCTGCCTGCAGCGTGGCCTTGGAAAAGTCACTTCCACATTCCCAGCCACAGGGTCATCTGTGCCTGTGAACCACTCCCTGTGTCTCCAGCCCAGATCTGCGTCATCTGTGACCGTGACTTGCTTCCTCTGAGACCATGAGCTCCCAGGGCCCAGGGTCTCAGCCCATCTCCCCTGGTTCCCCCACCACCCAGGTCTGCCCAGAGGACCTGGAGTGAATAGGACTGAAGCCATGTTGGGACCTAAAACCTCATGAGCTCTAAAAGATTTTAAAAGAACACAATTTTTTTCTTGGCATGCCTTTCTCTGAGTTCCCTCTTTTCCCGTGGTTACTTAATATTCTGAACCTTGGATATGGGCCAAGATGACATTATTTACATGAATGTAAAGTTGTTTTCCAGCCAGTCTGAAGCTGCAGACTTGCAGACTTGCCAGGAGGCATGTGCTATCCAGACTCTGAGATAACTGAAAGGACAGGAGCAGAAACCAGACGGAGCCTTGGCGAGACCTCGCACCTGGCTCCTTGCAGGGAGCCCCCACATCTCACATCTCCCTCCCTCCTGCTTTTCATTTCTCACATTCCATTCCCTCAGCCCCCTCTTTAAACACCCACCAGTAAATCTGAGTCTTTGAGATGGCTTTAGTCTGGCCGTTCTCCTCCAGGTTTTCCAGAGATGGGTTAGCCTAACATCTCTCCTCAGGTCACTGGTGTTCCTGAATAAAGCTGACTTCCATTTTCACCAATGTTTGATTTTTGAGTTTGTTTTTGAAGGGGGGCAGGCAGCTGGCCCCACCAAGTCATGCTTCTCTAGGGTCGAGGGGCATGTGGTTATGGCCACTTAAAAACGTGCAAGGCCCTCACCATCTAGGTACACCCTAAGGGCCCAGAGGGAAGGTCTTTTGAAGGCTGGGGGCCAGCTACCTCCCAATCAAGTCAACGTGCCTTCATGTGGGGTTCAGACCTGTGAGCCCCAGCCCCCACCTCTTCATCTCCTGCTCAGAAGTCAACTCCCTTGGCCTCATCTGGCAGGACACATGGGAGCCCCCTCCTGGGGGTCTCCCTGTCGGTGCAATCACATGGGAAGGGCACTCAGGTAACCATCCATGATGCGCCATGTCTTTCTAAGCAGGCAGGCTCTGGATGAGCCTCATGGCTGACTAAGGGTCACAGCTATCACAACCCAGAGTTCAGCCCAATGTAAAGAGCAACTTCCCAACGGTCCCCTGGCCCAGGGTGCAACAAGCAGCCTCTGGAGGTGGTGACCTCCCTGCCATTGGGTCTGCAATGCCAAGGCTGGCCCAGCCACCCATCCAGTATGCCCTGAAGGAAGCCAGGCAGATGCCTGACAAGGCACCACCAGTTCCACACAGGGCCTGTGCTGCATGAGGACAGACACAGGAGGGCTAGGGGCCCTGCCTTGGCTTCACCATGGGAACATGGGAGTGGCCCACCTCCTCCTTCCAGTGGTGTCCCTGGAGGGAGCGACCAACCTGGCCCGTCAACAGGAAGGAGCCACTTCCTGCAAGGAGCTTCCTGCATGGAACATCATCAGTCTGGATTTTGGCCCATTGCCCTCCAGGTGCCCATCCCTCCTGCTCAGGATCTGGGCAGCCCAGAGTTTGTTTTTGAAGGGGGGCAGGCAGCTGGCCCCACCAAGTCATGCTTCTCCAGGGTCGAGGGGCATGTGGTTATGGCCACTTAAAAACGTGCAAGGCCCTCACCATCTAGGTACACCCTAAGGGCCCAGAGGGAAGGTCTTTTGAAGGCTGGGGGCCAGCTACCTCCCAATCAAGTCAACGTGCCTTCATGTGGGGTCCAGACCTGTGAGCCCCAGCCCCCACCTCTTCATCTCCTGCTCAGAAGTCAACTCCCTTGGCCTCATCTGGCAGGACACATGGGAGCCCCCTCCTGGGGGTCTCCCTGTCGGTGCAATCACATGGGAAGGGCAC